GGGGGGGGGGTGCAACACAATCTTGAATGTGAGCTTTGGGGAGGAGAGGAGGGTGCCATGAATATACCAGCACAGACTTTCTCTTATAATAATACCATCTTCCAAGCACTCTGCAGACTAAAGTGCACCAGGCTGCCATTAATCCCACTTATCACCCTGACAGCTCAGTAATTACACTCCTGCTATAGCTAGGTACTGTAAGGTACTGTAGTCCTAATAAAACATCAAGCACTGTGCTGAATGCGTGCTGGTGTGGTGTTTTATTAAACTTGGGGGGTTGATCATCAAGTGACATTAGTGTTGACCTATTTTTCTATCTGACAATAAATTATTCTTTGACTATACCATAAAAGATATTACAGAGTGCATTTACTGTACAAAGGAGCAAAGGTATTGCATTCTGGTGAACCAGGCAAAAAGCATAAATAAAGTAGTAGAGTCACCCACCAGAAAGTTATTACATAAATTGCTGCAAGTGATTGATCCTTTCAAAAATCACAGGCAAAATACCATGCTTAAGGGAATAAACCAGCATTACCATGAGTTTCAAATCCACATGCAAATTACCACACGAAGAAATATTAAGTACCACACTTCTTTCCTTTTTCTGTAACTGTCCTCCCACCCTATGAAATCCCATCTTTCATTTTAAAAGATTATTTTATTACTATGATTTTGGTTCAAAATAATGTAAACAACGAATTAGAAACTTAGATTAAATGTCTGTATTTCACCTGTTAGCTCCTACCAAATTAAATGAAGAGCTACATGCTCACTACTAAAAAAACACCCGGATAAACAACATTCTGGACTATGGATCTGTGCTAATCTCAGAATATATATCTCAGCATTTCTTAGTAAAAATATAGGAAAAATCCTACCAACTATCTGAAAACACACTATATTATGAAATTTTCCCCTCTTTGTTCATGGAATAGCATCTCCTTTAGAAATATATAGGTTGTGTTGAATCTTACAAGACACCATATCCACTTTATATGCATATTGATTTTCATATAAAAGGGAACACCATAGTCTTTGCACTGCAAAGAGAAAAGGAAGCCACAGATGGATTAATTTTCATTTCATAGTTTTCGTTGTTTAATTGTTAAATATTACCCAGTATTTTATTTTAAAGTTAAAATATCTGACCAACAGTCTCATTTCTAGGTCTAGACCAGCTCTCAACACACTTTTGCTTCTAAACAAAGAAGGTCAATTTAGTTATATTGTTACCTAAAATTGCAGTGAACAATTGTCACTGGCAATAACATTCCCTGAAGTGCAATCACATGTACGCGGAAAGGTCGGCAGTGAAACAGATAATCCAGAGTAATATTCCACAATGAATTGTTGCTGATAACCTATCAAATTTTCATGTATGACAAAACAGGCCAAATAACCTTTATGGTTACCGTTGGCAGAGGTTTAGAAGCACATTGAATCCTAATCCACTTACGCGGGTTTCTGTAGGACATAAACAGCCATTTTGAAAAGAGGCTTCCAGCTCTACTATTTGCAGAAATTTCTAAAACTTTATCCACTACTAAGAGAAATAGCCCAGATACACACACTACAGTTTCACACAGGTCTCATAAAGATGTTCTGTATGTACGTCCAGAGGTTTTGGTCAATTAATTTTAAGAGAATGGCAGAGCAAATTCCACACAGTGAATAGGAGGCCAGTTTGAACAGAAGACACAACTTTGATGTCAAGGCTTTTCTTGGTTCCCAGTCTCTCGCACCACTCTCTAAACCCTGAGCTGGGGATGGTAAACAGTGAAATAAGAAAGCTGCGTGTCAAGAAGAAATAAATCAATAATTTCCAAATAAATCTAATTCATTTCTAAGTGGAATGCCCATTGCCTTTCGTTGCAGAAGTAAAGAGCATTATACATAAGTTTTTCTCTTCTCCTTAAATTAGAACTGACTACAAAGACATCATTTTGGACTACAGAAGAAACATATCGAATCACCAAGAAACACCTCTGAACACAAAGGGCATCAGAAACTGTACAAAACACAGAAAATACGGACAAGTAGTTATCATGGTCCTGGATATGTAATACTGGAAACAGAAATTCCCAGCCTGTTAGTAATGCACAGGAAACATAAGAAAGAAAACACGTACATTGCCAATACTTGTTCATGTCTAAAGAGAGAAAGGAAAGATTCCCACATCATCGCTATTGCATCCTCAGTCACCTGAAGTCCTGTGAGCGTTCTGCAGACCCATAAAAAATGGCAGTACTCTGTCAGCAGGTTCAGACATCCAGAGGAAGCAAATTTTAAATAGAGACACTCTACAGGATTAGAGAGAGACATGACATTGCTGCTGGCAGCTACAGTACGTGTAAGGGAGGTGCTTTTTATTGAAAGGAAGAAATGCTCAGAGTTGGAAGTTAGTCTTCAGACACAAAAACCTCCTATCCTAGTGCAGAATAATGGCACTTACAGACAAGGTTATTTTTGGACACTTAAGAGGTAGTGAATCATATGAACATAGACTCCAAATCATTCTATTCATCAATGCCTCATCTTTCTCTTTTCTTCTTTCGTTCTCTACAGCCATAATTCTTTTCTCATCTACTTCTGAATCCCCTTTGAGTGCAGGAACTCTCCTCTCCTCTTTGCTTCTGCTTGCCTGTCTTCCTCTTTCTGTAGGCTTTTTTTTCCCCCCCATCTATCTGAAACTTCTCCACTTCTTGGTCCTATTACTTTTAATCATCTTTCATCATAACTTCATTTTAATGGACAAAATTGATAACATAAAAAAGAATGACCCACTCACTGTCTGCCATCAGGTATCTATGAAAGTGGTGTAGGAGAGTGTGCACCAGTCACTTTTCAGTTCATCTTCTGAGTTTTTGCCAACCACCATTCAGCCCTTCAGAACCTCCA